TGAATTCAGCAAAGTGGCAGGATATAAAATCAACACCCATAAATCAAAGGCATTTCTGTATATCAGGGACAAATCCTTGAGAGGGAAATGAGGAAAACTACCCCATTCACAATATCCTAAAAAAATAAAATAAAATACTTGGTAATCAACAAAAGAGGTGAAAGATCTATACAATGAAAACTACAGAACCCTAAAGAGAGAAATAGAAGATCTTAGAAGATGGAAAGATCTACCTTGCTCATGGATAGGCAGAATTAATATTGTCAAAATGACCATACTACCAAAAACTTTACAGGTTTAATGCGATTCCAATCAAAATCCCAATGGCATTCTTCATAGAAATAGAAAAAGCAGTCATGAAATTCATCTGGAAAAATAAGAGACCGAGAAGAGCTAAAGCAATCCTTAGCAGGAAGAGTGAAGCAGGTGGCATCACTATACCAGACCTTAAACTATACTACAGAGCAATAGTAACAAACACAGCATGGTATTTGGCACCACAACAGACTGGTAGACCAATGGTACAGAACACAGGACACAGAGACTAACCCACAAAATTACAACTACCTTATATTAGACAAAGGTACCAAAAGCATGCACTGGAGAAAGGATAGCATCTTCAACAAATGGTGCTGGGAAAACTGGAAATCCATATGCAACAAAATGAAATTGAATCCCTATCTCTCACCATGACAAAAGTTAACTCAAAATGGATCAAGGACCTAGGAATCAGACCAGAGACTCTGCGTCTAATAGAAGATAAAGTAGGCCCTAATCTTCATCATGTGGGATTAGGCCCCAACTTCCTTAATAAGACTCCTATAGAACAAGAATTAAAACCAAGAATCAACAAATGGGATGGATCAAACTAAAAAGTTTCTTCTCAGCAAGAGAAATAATATGTGAGGTGAACAGAGAGCCTACATCCTGGGAGCAAATTTTTACCCCTCACACATCAGATAGAGCTCTAATCTCTAGGATATATAAAGAGTTCAACAAGATAAGCACCAAAAAAATAATAAATCAATCAATAAATGGGTCAAGGAACTGAACAGACACTTCTCAGAAGAAGATATACAATCAATCAACAAATATAGGAAAAAAATGCTCATCATCTCTAGCAGTCAGAGAAATGCAAATCAAAACAACTCTAAGATATCATCTCACTCCAGTCAGAATGGCAGCTATTATGAAGACAAACAACAATAAGTGTTGGCAAGGATGTGGGGAAAAAGGTAAACTCATACATTGCTGGTAGGACTGCAAATAGGTGCAGCCAATATGGAAAGCAGTATGGAGATTCCTTAGAAATCTGGGAATAGAACCACCATTTGACCCAGCTATTCTTCTTCTCAGACTATACCGAAAGGACTTAAAAACAGCATACTACAGGGACACAGCCACATCAATGTTTATAGCAGCACAATTCACAATAGCTAGACTGTGGAGCCAACCTAGATGCCCTTCACTGGATGAATGGATTAAAAAAAAGTGGCATTTATACACAATGGAATATTACTCAGCACTAAAAAATATCATGGCATTTGTAGGGAAATGGGTGGTGTTAGAGCAGATTATGCTAAGATAGCCAATCCCCAAAAAACAAATGCCGAATGTCTTCTCTGATATAAGGGGGGTGATTCAAATGGGTGTAGGGAGAAAGAGCATGAGGAAACTGTGCAGCAACCCTCTCAAAGCACATGGAGCACAAGGGCACCACTGTGGGGGGTTCGCAGGCTCGGAACACGCAGAACAGAAGTGCAGGTGAGCTCTCGGCAGAACCTTGAAGAGAAGGTCTCCCACCCTCCGTCAAGACTTCCAGAAGGTCCTTCCAGGTGAGTGGTGCCTACAGCAGCCCAAGCCGTCTCCGGGCACTGCTGATAAACTAGGTCAACCTTCCTTTTTGAGTTTTAGAGGGAGACAGTGCCTTTGTTTTATTTCTACGTGGCGCTGAGGATGGTGCTGAGTAATATTCCACACTGCTAGGCAAGCGCTCCCCCTGAGCCGCACCGCCAGCCCCTAAGTGAACCTTGAGCACGTAGGGCCCGACTCCTGCAGCACTGACGTCTGTACAGGACGACGCAGGGGTCCCTAGGCACGGGGGGCCATGAACAAGGAGGTCTCACAGCGCCCCACTTGGGCTGAAAGGCTGAGGAGAGATGAGTCCCGTGGCTGTTTTTAAGGGGCATGAAGATTCGACCTAGGCCATCCCTGGGTCAAAGGAGCTGTCCTCGTAAGAGTGCGTGGGTGGGCAGGTGTCCTGTCACGCGTGCTGGCGTCCAGGTGCACTTCCTCCCTCAGCCCGGGCGAGCCTGACTGCACATCAGGGTGGCCGCTCCAGCCTCCGCGGGGTCTGCTCCTGCGCTGGCTCCTCCCTTCTGCTCCCCCTCCGTCCCCTGTCGGCTCCCTCCCGGGGGTGTGTGTGTCTAGGACGGGGCTGACACAGGGCTCCTGGGCACCCCACGTGCCTCACTCACCACCTCGGGGCTCCCCTGGACACCCAGAGCTCCCGCCGGCACCACAGGGCCACTGAATGGCCGCACCCAGAATCTGGCCCCGAGAGCTGGTGCTGGGGAATGCTGCCCAGAGACTGCCCTCCACAGACCTTATACACCAGGCTCCAGGGCAGCTCCTAGTCTCTGCCACCCGTGGGAGCAGCAGCCGGGCACGTGCGGCCTGGGACACCATCATCAGCTTTGTCTGAGAGCCGCAGGCCACACAGCCCGACCCTCCCAGCAGGTCTGACTCCTTCCCTTATCAACATGCCCTTCCCTGAATCACTGGGGTCGTCCATGTCTTTGCTTCTCTTGAAACAAATGGCTGGTCAATACTAGGAGTGGTGGCCAGCCAGAGCCCAGGGTGTTACCTCTGTGTTGGGACTCCCAAGCAGTGTCCATGTCTAACCAAGAGCACGTAGAGGAGTCGTCCAGGGCCTTCTGGGGGACCCCCAGCAGGCCCCCGCAGGCAGTCTGCAGGTGCGTCCTGGACCTCAGGAAACAGCACCAGGCCCTTTGTCCTGGGGAGCCACTGCCTCTGCAGACAGAGCCACCTCCTGCTTTTCCCCCAACCGGAGGAGGAGAAGCTTTCCAGATCCCTGAGCCTGGAACCTTCTGACCCATGCATGTCACTCTCTGCCCATGCACCGTCCTGGTGACAGTTTTCTTCTATTATGTGAAGAAAGAAAAATGTCAAACTTCCTTGCCCCGAGGGGCAGCTCCAGGTCCTCCTGTGCACCTCGCTGAGGCAGAGCTTAGGTAAAAACCCCAGCTCTGGCAGTTCTTCCAAGGTTGTGAAGACAGCCGTGAGACCCAGCTCCCTCTTAAGCCAGCCCACGGTGTTCTACTCTTGCATCAGTGAGAATGAGAAGCCCATAGAAACCTGGAGCACACTTCCTTCCATTCAGTTCCAGGAAAAAAAAAAAACAAATAAAAGCAACTTGTTTGTCTGAGCTAAATGAGCATATGAAATCACTTCTACTACCTGCACGTGGCCATTAGAGCACAAGGGTCACAAAGTAGGCAAAATACTCTATAGCTACTCAAGTAGAGAGAGGGAAGGCACAAACTTTGTGATCCTAGTTACTGGAAATACCCTAGTATCTGGAAATACCACTAAAGTTTCCCACACCAAAGGTCTAAAACAGGGTATGGGGCGAATATGAAATACTCTGCTCTTCAATTCTTGGGAGTTTTCTGAATCCGGATGATCGCAATGTGTACATAGATCATTTCCCCAGAAGAAGTGCTGCCATACAGGAATGTGCAATGGAGGGAAGTGGGGCATTTTCTAGTTCTTAAATTTTAAAGGATATTACTGTGAAATGAACGCTACAAAGAATACCCAGTACCTTTGTATCAGGTTTGAAATTAATCTGTAAGTTGTTAGCCATTGATTTTCCTGCCATGAGATATGAGCATAGTATGATTCCTTTTTTATCAAAAGCATGCCCAGCTGTATATTGAGCCGAGTATCTTGTGTGCACTCATGTGGGAGGGTAAGGCAGAGGAACATGCATGACAGGGGATTAGTTCAGTTCCAGCTCAGGTGTGCTGGATAAGGGCAGACAGAGATTTGCAAAGGAAAGGGGAGGTGAGAGAAAGAAAGAAGATTAAAAGGCAGAAGGATCAACATCCATGGATTTAGAAAATTATATGTGGACATAGGTAAATTATATAGTAGCAATGACATTAGATTTAGCTCACTTATTTTTAGATAAATTGAACAACCATGAGATTCCTACAATGTAAACGTGTGGCTCCTTCAGGCCCATGGTCCCCCCACTCCTGTCCCCCGTGGGCCGGGAGCGTGGAGCCCATCCAGAGACCCCCTGCTTGTTGGGTTTTATATTCATTGCTGTTGAAATTGCGTCCTCAGGGAACACCCGCCCTTCAACTAGATTCCAGAGGATGTTTATGTAAATGTGACCCCAAAATAATATAATGAGTGGATCTCATAATTTTAGAAGCTAAAATCAAGAGCAGATTTTTGACTAGAGGAAACAGAGCGGAAGGAAGCCTTTCTGCCTGGAAGTCCTGTTAGCACTGCAGAAACACTCGGCCACCGGCCGGCAGGTGGCAGGGCCAGGCGGGACTCCCTCCTGCCCCTTCGTCACAGGCTCGGTACCCAGGGAGATGCTTCGGCAGGTCCGAACAGAGGCACACGTGCCACACAGGCCCTAGAAACAGGGGCCCTGTCCACCCGGGGCCTGGGTGGGCAGTTTTACTGTCATGTCCTAGAATGCTTCAGGCCAAAGGGACCTTCCTAACGATCAAAGCGTACCATTGCCCTCTGCAGTGGGGTGACAACACACTGAAGTACTTTATCACTGTACCTCGGAATGGACAAGCCATAAGTATTTGGGGGAGTGTCAGGAGAAAACCCCCAGGCGCTCCGTAGAGATTGGGGAGGAGGCTTGGCGGAGCCGACAGGGTCACCCCAGCGGATGCTCCCCTGTAGGGTGGAGGACAGAACATGCCCGGGGCCCCAGGAAGGCCACTTACTCTCGTAGTGGATGAGGAAGCCCACGCTGGAGCGGCTGCTGTCGGTGGTGAAGAGCAGGTACAGGAAGCTCCCCGTGCTCACGAGGAACTGGGGGGCCTGGGTGCCGTGGTATTCTCCAATCAGTGGGGAAGAGCTGGTGGGCCCGTCCCTGACTTCCAGAGTGTCGTAATTGACTTCCGTCTGGAACCTGTGGACGTGCATCATGTCAGGAAAGACGTTCAGGCTCCGGTACTTACAGACCTCTCCTACCACCCTCATCTGTTAATTAAAACCCCTCACATACCAACGTGAATGAAATATTCAAGATCATATGTGTACATGTGAGTATACACACACATATACAAATGTGGAGACACATATCACATAGGAATGAGTGTGTTTTTCTGGAAGAAACAGGACACTCTAACCCCCCCCCCCCCCCCCATCTTACATAACACTCTACCTTGTAACATCACAGATAAAAATTAAGGTCCTTATTCAGCTCTGATTCAAAACCCCCGTGAGAGAAATGTCAGGTGAATAGACAGATAATTGTCAATGCTTTTGCATTTTAAAAGTGTTTTTCACGATTCCCTGTCTGACACCATCACGGACACCTTGGAACAGGCACACTCAAGTGAAATGATCTCCTAGAGGAAGAAGGGACTCAAAGTACACAACCACATTAGGTACCTTTCCTGGACAGAATCCTGTGCTTTTTTAAGTGGCATGAACAGGACGCTGGACTAAGCTGAACTACTTCTCAAACTCAAAAGCTAACTTTAGTGATTTGAAAGAGCTTCCGACAAATGCTTCACTTCCTTGCGCTTCCAGGGAGTCTGGCTGCAGTTCCATTTATATAAAGTCGCAGCCACTTGGGTCCCCTTAGACGTGACGCTGGTGCCATTCCAGGCACGGAGGTAATTTTCTAAATGGCCCGTCTAGTCCTCCAAGAGCTAACCTGCTTTCCAAGTGTCTGGTTCTGCTCTCAGGGAGCAGCTGAGGCGTCATAAGCCTCTGACTCACTCGGTAATGGGAGCCAGAGTCCTCGGAAGCCTGTGCCACTGTTCTCCACTGGGATTGTCAATGAACAGGAAGCTACCTTCGTGGCACGGCACACATCAGCCCAAATGGCATGAAGCCAAAGGTTCTGCCCTGTTTATCATGAAGCAGTGCAGACTTCTCTTAGTGAAAATGCACACTGATCCGCATTCTCCACAGCGAGGTGGAAGCCCTGGAACCTGCCCTTCCACAAGAAGGAACCAGAGGACCCTGCATCACATGGCCAGGCCAGAACAGACTCACAGGCTGGAGCGTTGGGGAGCAGGCGGTGCCAACTTTGTCTTTTAATCTAAAGATTATGATTCCTCAGATGTTTGAGCTCAAATTCCAGGAATCTGGATAAGAGTGGAAGCCATCGCATCTGAGGGGTCCACATGCACGCTGTTATCTCCTCCTGGTCTTCCCAAGAGCCAGGACTGCTGTGTGACTTCAAGAGTCACCTCAGAGCAGAGAACCCTAAGCACTCTCATGGCCCAGCAACCTGACTCACATTGCACGACAAAGTCACCCTCGTGGAACTGCAAAGCACATGGACAAACTCGTCCCCCCAGGGGGACTCCACTGGCCAATGAGCAAGTCCACACGCACTGTGTGGCTCATCGTTAAGGAGCCCGGCAGGCAATGCATCTCTGGTGACTGCCACTGATGTTCCAAATGTCAGAAATGTGAGGTACTTGCACGGGGAAGCTGGCAAAATACCACACTGAAATAACACAGAGTAGATCCCCCCGGGGAACCCGGAGAGGCATTCTGCTTCAGGCCGCTGGGCCAGAGTGTTGATAGACTGTGCTGAGGAGCGGAAACCACTGTCTTTACTAAATGATTTAGGTATGGCCTTCTGCTTTAGCAACCCCTATTGAAAAGTGTAAGCATTTATAGGTAGCCAAGTTTAATTTACTGAATATATATTGAGATACTGTTTTTCAAATGATTAATGTTATTTTGCAGGAATCCACTCTCAAAATATATGAATCAAATTTTCCCCTATTTCTAAGGAAAAATCTACTGAATGTTATCATCCAACCTAATAGTGGAAAAACAACGATTTTGAATAAAAATAATTACTAAAGATGGCAACTACAACAAATATTTCCTATGTTGATATCAAATTCTTAGAAAATTACTAGGAAAACAAAACAGGAAATAACCTCATGAAGTTGAGATACTAGAATATTCTGGAGGCAAAAACTCTGAATGCAATCTCGTCAATAAGGTCATCACGAGATAAGTGCGATGCCATTCAGAGGTGTGAGCTCAGAACTTTACAACAGTCCTTCCCTACATTTCAAAGCCTACGGCTTGTTTCAAACCAGTTTAATTTTTAATCATCAGATCAATTTCAATGTTGAGTGACACGGGAAAGCACCTTATCTCACAGAGCCTGAATGGCATGCTTACTTTTGCAGATTATTAAATCTATACTCAAGGAGCAAAGCCACACTGTTCTCCAGTGACAGCGACGCCGTGGGCAGCGTGGGCAACTGATGGACATCTCATCTGCTGCATTTGCCCCAAGGTTCACTCTGGACATTTGACAGTCTCCTGTTATTGACAGCTGACATCAGAACTGGAGAGGCCTTTTCTGTGCTGCCCCAGAGGGAAGAGAAGGCACCAGAGGGACAGGGGGCTGTGTCCTGTGCCACCAAGAACCTGGCAGAATTCCTCCACTACAGGCACCAGCTTCAGGACAGGCTCCAGGGTCAGCTGGGAGGAAGCCACCCAGGATGGACTCCAGGGTCAGCCCCGGTGGGTGGGAACAATCACCCAGGAAGCTTCTGTGTCCACAGCTAACTTGGGTTGGGAGGACGATGCTCGGGAAGGACAGAACTGAAGGGATAGTGCCTAATCCTGTTGGGTCAGCCCCTCTGGAGGACCAAAGAACTGTCACCTTGAAAGTTTTAAGATCCACTAACTTAAAACATGGAACAGATATGGGTCCCAGGACCAGATGAAGGACAAGGCTCATCTTACCTGTCAAAAGTTATTTTGATAGAATGTCCTGGTTTTGCTTCAATGATCCATTCACAATTCAAAGAGTCTTTATAATATCCTGGCCATCCAGGAGGCAAAATGACCCCACTTGAGGCTGTCAGATGTCCACCGCACGGGGCTAAAGGAAGATGCACACCGTCAGGTTCAAGTAAATATGGGAGGTCATGCCATAGCCACATGGCCATCAAAATAGGGACTGCTTTCCGGGCATAGATTCAGTATTTCCAAGTATTAAGGCAACACCCGTTGCTAAGAAGGCCCTGAGTTGATTGAAACTGAGGTCTGTGCCTTGCACGGCTGGTTATCTGCCCTCAGAACTAGGCAGAGTGCTCCTCCTTGGATGATCTACATGGGAGCGGCCTGTCTGGTCGTCAGGAATCTCCTGGCACATGCCACTCATAGCCATCTTACATGCATTAGGAATTCAATAAGCATCTACGGAAGATGAAATTTTAAATGACCTTAAATCTAATGATGAAAAACCCCAAGACATGTGAGCTATTGTGTTCGTATGTATATACGTTGTGTTGTGTTCGTATTGTTAAAATTACTTGCCACGTAGGATATTAAGTTGTTGGCGCATGTTAAAAACAAAAGTGTGAACTGTAACAAGCACAGGGTTAGGCTGGGCCTATCCTGAAGCAGCAAGTGGCAGACAATGGTCTATAGTTACAAAAGAAAAAGGGAGGGTTAAGAAGTGTGTCCCCGGGCTGTGTGAATCCCCTGTCACCCGCAAGAGTCCTCAGAAAACAGCGACCCCTGGGTTAACACTGCAGGGAAGAACACACGTCCACCTGGCCACACCGCCTTCCACGTTTTGCATACTCTTTACCGCTCATCTCCCCTGTGAACTCATAGGCAGCAGGTATGTGAAAACGTGTACTTTAAAACAGACCTATCCTTTTTGGAGTGCGATTCCTTTGGTGGAAAAATGACCACATATATTGAAGTGCTAAGAATGTCTTTCCCTTTCATCCAGATTTTGAGGCCCCAGTGAACTCCGCCAGGATAAACAACGCGCTTTTCAACAAACCTGGCTTCGCTGCGGGGCTGGCATTGCTTACGTGAGCTGAGTTATTTCTCTAAGGACCGTTTTCCCTGAGGCTCCCAACCGTGTGTGTGTTACCGTCTTCTCTCCTGGTCCCCTCTGCAGAATCTCAGGGTCCGTCTATTACTGGTGCCGGCAAAGTCCCCAGGTCTCTGAGTTTATCTATTCTAATGCATTCCTTTCCGTACCTTTCACTCTGGGCACCGAGCTCCATGCGGCAGGCTGTGAGCCCTGTGAGCCCCGTGGTGCTGGCCCACTTTGCTGTAGTGGAAGGTTTCTCCCCCAGGATTTCCAGGCAGTGTAGAATCTGAACTCTGAATTTCTGTTTAATACACAGCTATGATTTAGAGAGGACTTCTGGATGCTAGGTGTGTGCTGTTTTGATCATAGAACCTCAACTGGAGCACTGTTAGTGATGTGGTCTGCATTTGTTTTAATTCGTGAGGGTTCATTCCTGGCCAATCATTTAATTGATTTCTACAAAGGAGGCTGGAGGGGAACGGGAACCCTGAGTGTGCTGTCGGGGACCTGAGGATCGTGCACACCTCTTCAGTCGAGTTGGCGGCTGTTCCTCGCGGCCCTTGCACTCTCTGCACTCGACCTGCTTGCTGTGGAAGCTGATGGCTGGGGACCTGGGTGGCCATGCTACCAGAGCCTTCCCTGAGACCCTGCCGTGCCCAGGGAGTGGGTCTGGGGGCAGAAACACTTTCAGATCTCCCACCAGGACTCTTCCTTTCTCTGTTTTCCAACTGAAGCTGGAGTTTTCACTTAGCTTCACCACAGGTGGGGCTCCTCCTAGTAATGGAGGAACGCAGAGCCTCTGCTCAGGGTTAATGTGCTACTTCCCCTTATCTCACGTCCTGCTACTCCCTGTGCTTACAGGGCCCTGTCCACCAGTGTGCCGAGAAACAGGCGCCGCCTGCAGCTTGTGACGCCTCTGCCCACAGCCGACTGTGGGTAACCAGCACAGAGACAGCCAGCCGTGGTCCACACAGCTAGAGCAGTGTTCAGACAACATAGGCTGCAGCACCATTCCTGTGACCTGCGTGAACACGCCACGTGTGCACATCCACTTAATTATAAAGGCTCGAAAACCACCCTCTGTTACCATCTTATAAACATAACATGTAAAATTATATGTTTGAGATGAATTATTAAGATAGATTTAAAAATAAAAGTCCCGCTGTTGTATCCTTGCCCTTCACTCTTCCACCAGGGTGGCGCCCAGAGCCCCTGAACTCTTCTAACAGTTGAGGAAAGGAAGGAGGGCATCTTTCCAACTGCTGCAGAGCCACTTGCAGGCCACCACAGGGCCTAGCTGGAGTGTCTCCTGACGGTGGCAAGCCACCCAGCGGGTTGCTCAGGCTGGACAAGGGGTGGCCCTGGCTGGGCTCTGAGAGTTCAGTGTCCCCACAGCTGGACTCGGCTCTGACCCCTTGGAGGTGAGGACTTGGGAAGTTTCCCTAAAGCAGTGCAGGAGGAGAGCCGCCCGGGCTGGCCTATTTATTTCCTAGTTACATATTAAAAAGAAACAGGTTGACCTCAGACAACTGAGGGAATGACCCAAGAGGAAGAAAACCCTTCCAGCCACCATTAACACGTGAGTGCCCAGCAGTCTCCGTCTCCCTCTCCTGAGATGCTGACACGTGTCTGTGTCTTCAAAACCCTGTGAACACGAGTGCTCGTGCCCCTGGTCTTTCCCATGATAGCAACTCAGGATCTCTTTGGCCCGTAACCTTGGTTAATGATGCTCGACCCCTGGTCTAGGTACACGTCTCTATCCACTCAGCGGCTCCCTGCTGTTGGACATTTAGTTGTTTCCAACTTGTCACTGTTTAGAAAAGTTCTGCAAAAAGCACTCATCAGCAAACATTTTATCGTACTATTTTATGATACTAACCCTAAAATATAAGCTATGGGCCGAAAGACCAGAAAGATGCTAAGACTCAATATGAATTCACGCCGTGAAGGTGCAGTTTAACCTCCTCAGGGCAGAGCCAAGAAATGCCAGCCTCCCCCACTTACCCACAGTTCACCTCTTTAACTCATTGAAAATCTGGGCAAGGCTCGAGAGCAAAGGGGCATGCTACTTTTGCTTTTACTTGTGCATTTCTTAGGGATTCAGCAGAGATAATTTTAAGACAAGGTTCCTAAGCTCATTGTGTAAGACAGGGAGGATGGGTCAGGGGCCTGAGGCAAACGTTTTTAAGTGATCAAGAATGAAGGGCCATGAGGTTCTGCTCCTTATATTTTTTTCCTCTGGTCTTATTACAGGTAAGTAGACCAGAAATATCAAGACGAAAATCAGGTATTATTCATATGAGCTTTGATGAAGAAAGCAAATCATTAATTAAAACCACAGTGTTGTCATGGGTTGAATTGAGCCCCCAGTTCCTCATCAGTGTCCCACCCTCCCACCACACTCACTGATGGTGTGTGGGCACAGGAGCACGTAGGTGAAATTAGTGGAGGTAGACGAGGTGTCATGGGAGAGAGGACCCTCTCCCAATACATCAGGGGGCACGGACACAGTCAGATGCACACACAGGAGAGCTCCTCTCGAGCATGTGGCCAAGGTCACGAGATGTGCTGAGGCCAAGGAGCACCGGAGCTGGGGCTTCCTGGACACACCCTCCCTCCCACGCTCCAGAGGACCACCACCCAGCCAGAGCCTGGTTCCAGGAAGTGAGGCTACACTTCCTGTGCTTCGATCCCTCCCGTGTTCTGGCATCTAGGAAACTGGAACCCGGCCTGTCTGAAGGGAGAGGCCAGGACGGCTGAGGGCAGGCCCACCTTCACAGCGAGGGACGGTGGCACTCCAGACCACGTTCCCGTCCTGCAGGACGCAGGTGATGGACTCGGAGCCCTGCGTCTTGACAAAGCCATCGTCACAGTGGAAGGAAACGGAGCTCCCGAGCAGAAACCTGTCGCCAAAACGCCTGCCATTGACAGGGATGCCGGGGTCATGGCACTCATTCTGACCGAAGGCTGACGGAGGAAAGAGAGAAAGAAGCAGAACCAAGTGTCTGAGTCCCAGTTACGTGTATTAAGAAACAAGGAAACAGAACCCATTTATAAGGCAACTGCTTCCCCAGATTTCAGTTATACCACCCATAGATACGGAAATACACTGAATAAGTGGGATATCAGGGTCTGTAAGCGAGAGCACGGATGGATGAGTAGACATGACTATCATCTCTGCAGCACTTGGGTTGGAAGGACACTTCCTGTGCACTTCAAAGAGAGACCAGGGACACCGTGTGTGGGGGGGGGGGGGAGAACTGAGGCTCAGGACACATCTGCTCCAGGTAGGGGTCAGCCCGAGGCCTAGCTTCCGCCCCTCAGCAGATGCCCTGATGCTGTAAGTGAGTGACTCTAACCCTATATCCCAGAGTTGCTGTGGAACTACATCATTACCGGGAATTCTACACACCGTACCTAAGAGAAGCAGCCAGAGACAAATTAGTGTTGCTCATATTTACTGTTTAGTTTTAGTCTTTCTAGAAAGCATTTAAGGAGTCGTCGTTCTTCTATAAGATTTGTTTTGCAGATGAGGGGCCTGAGCCAAAGAGAAATTAGCTATCTTGTCAAAATCCACTTCATATCTCCAAGGGCCGGTGTGCGGACCCTGGCTCCTGACCACCAACGCCGTGACCCTGGTTGTCACACTCTGTTGTTACAAGGAGGATGCATGGATGGGTGGAAGGAAGGAAGATGGAGGCCGGGAAAATTGGAAGGAGGGCCAGGATATGAGATCCAGCACCCTGTGATGGGGTGACCCAGAGACTAACCTAAATACCACAACAGCGTTATGTCACTTTGCTACTCTTAGAGCCTTGATAATGATCACATAGCTTCAGTGTGTGTGATGAAAACGCGGCCAGGAGCTCACTTACTGGTGTACGTGATGTTGAACCCTCTGCCGGTGGTGGAGTGGTCCGACTGGAATTCCAGGCGCACTATGTGCCCACTGCTGGCCAGCTGAGCGGGCACCTCATTGCCAGAGAAAGTACCAAGGACAGTTATATCAGAAATCCCATCATCTTTGACTGCCAGAAAGTCAAACTGAGGCTCCACGTCAAAGTCATTGAAGATGAGGTGAATTCTGCTTCCCGGCTCGGATATAATCAGCCAAACGCAGTTCATGTTGTTGCCGTATTCCTCTGGGTAATTTGGGGAAAGGATGATCCCGGATGATGCCGTGAAGTTGAAGAAACAAGAAACTGCAGAGACAGGAATATATTTTCAAACAGTGTTGCATGACCCAAGAACTGCCCCTTGGCCCACCTTTCAGGTGGCCACAATGGCCGGCTGCCGTAAGACCAGTCACCTGGAGCACAGTGTTTCTCTTTCCACCTATCTCGTTACCTTACACAGCACAGCCAGGGACTCTGCCTAATTCCGCAGAGGCTTTAAAATAAACATGATCCCACTGAGTTGGTTAAAAACGTGCGTGTGCTAGATATTGTAATTTCTAGTTCAGACTTTCTGCCTCCAGAGGAACAGCATTAGTCGTTGGTGCCAGAGGAGCAATTGGGTCTGCTCTTCTGTGATAACTTTTTAGTTATTTATTTTCTTTTAAGGTGCATTTTTTTCCAGTTGTTTATCTAATTTTCTTGTTGGTTGTAGGCAAAGATTAACAATAAGTAATGAGAAAATCAAATTGTGCTGTCGTTGGGCAACATGGAACTCCTCTGGATACTTGAAGAACGTGTGCTTCATACAAATCGTGAGCACCTGTTTCTGTTTGGGTGGCAGCAGCTGCCGTAAGGCCTTGCTTTTTCTCCACATGACTCCACACACACTTCCACCATTGCCATTTTCACTGTCAATTAAGTCAACCTTCTAAGTGGCCGCAAGGCCTCTGCTGCAGCTTCCACGCCGCGCACACGGGAAGAGGGCGGTTGTCCGCTGAGGTCCAAACCTCCTGTAGCACCATGCTCCCAACAGCCACCCACTAGTGCCCAAGGCTGCACAACATACTACCGTGGTTTGGGTCTGAAATGTCCCAACAGGCTCAGGTGCTGAAGGTGTGGTCCCCAGCTGGCGGCACAGTGGAGGTGATGGACACTCTGGGAGGTGGGACCTCGTTTTGGAGGAGGTGGGTTCTGGACATGACATGGAGGATTTATTTTGTCCCTGGGTCCCTCCTCTCTTCTCTCTCTCTGCCTCCTGGCTGTCATGAGGTGGATACCCTTCACCACCACCGCCTCCCACCACCACCGCCTCCCACCACCACAATGTCAAACCTTGCCTCCACAGTAATGAAGCCAGCTAACCTTGGACTAAAACCTCTGAAACTGTCTTTCCTCCCTAAGTTGATTGTCTCAGGTGTTTTGTCACAGCCATGAAAAGTTGGCTACCACAATCATTGGATCATAGAGTCTCCATTGCTGCCACTCGGTCTGACCCAGCACCTAGCGGGGGCTCTCGAGGGCGACAGTGGTATGTTCGATCCCTTGGGGTAGAAAGTGCTCAGCTGCACTTCTTCTGGCAGCAGACCTGGTTTTAACAGGGACAGCGGAAAGCTGGTGTCTGGGAACGCCCCCCGGGCAGCTGCCTCCCCAGGGTCTCTCCTCCCGTGCTCTGCCCTGGGCCCTTGCAGGACAGGAACTCACACACGCAGCTGGGCTTGTTGCCTGACCACTGGTTGTTCTGCTGGCAGGTGATGACCCTCTCGCCCACCAGCTCGAAGGCCGCCTGGCATTCAAAGGTGAGCGTGTCTCCGTGCAGAAAGCTGCTGCCCACCCGCTTCCCGTAGGCGGGGATGCCAGGGTCGCCACAGCCGCCCTTTTCAATTTCTGAAAGTGGGAGAAACAAACAGACCATTAACATTATACAACAAACACTGTTAACTCCCAAGTTCAGGCTTCTTTTTGCTCATCTAAACTTCATTTTCATAAATGATTCCAGAAAGATACGCAATTCATCCAACAATCGCAGAACATGAAGAAGTTGCGAGTTGCCTAGGAGAGGAAGGTAGGAAAGTGACTGTCCTATAAGACACCCAGGCCACACAGATGTGCTGACATTAATAGGTGCGTCTTGGGGGCACCTCCAGCCTCCGTCTGCAATCCGTGCACTAGAATGTGACCGCTCATGTGAGCCTCATCTGCAGGCTTTTCACTATTAACACTGCAAACACGAGTGCTCTTTCCTTCCTGAATATTCAGATCAATGTGATCTATTTGACACTCTTTTCCTGAAACGGACGTCAGAATTCATTCGTGAAGCAGGAAGAATATATCTATGGTCTTCAGATAACAAAGTGCACAGAATGAAACTGCTTTTCATTAACACACAGCTGCCATGGAACATGGACCACATTTCACACCCTGGCCAAGACCTCGGACATACTGGCCAAGACCTCAAACATGCTGGCCAAGACGTGCGCCTTACTCAATCCCTCCACAGTGCTTTTGAAAGCCAGCTGCATGTTAGGTCCTCTGCTAGGTGACGGGGTGGTGGGTGAGCAGGATGGCCCTTGCTCTCACAAGGGACATCAAGAATTAAACAGAGCATGCGGTGCTGACCAGGTTCCCTCCTGAAGGAGCCCAGAGGGCTGGGCAGGGAGAGGCAAGGCCCCCTGGAGGGGCTGCCTGGGCTGCTCCCTGCCTGTGCTAAGTGATGTGGGCCAGGGTGGCAGGTAGGCCACCCCGTGGGGAGGTTAGAGCAGAGGCAGGACAGGACTGAGTCCCCCCAGAGCCAGCATGTCCCCAGGAGAGCCATACTCCAGGAGAACGCCATCAGAGTCTCTGTTTTAATGCTTTTTTAGGTGTTTAGATCTATTTACTTATTTATCCATCACCTCATTCATTCATTCATATGAGCATTTGTTTGATTATCTATTGATTTTTCTCAGATTCAGCAAATTCAAATTTCTGTTTTATCAGCAATGGCCACGGTTTGTCCTTCGAGACGCAGGATGAACTGAGACCCACAACGTGACGGTGTTCAGAGGTGGTGGGACACTTAAGAGCTGGCGAGGGAGTTGCGTGGGACTGGTGTGGTCATGGCCAGACTGGACCAGAGACCCTGTGAGTGGCTGTCTGTGTCAAGGCCTCCCTCGGTGGTGTCACATATGACGCGCCCACCGGCCCCTCCCTTCTGCTGGGTCACACTGCTGCCGTGGCTGTCTCCCCCAAACCTCTGGCCTTTTTATTGTTGTTGTTTTTTATCTCTGATGCCCAGCCCACAATTTCTTCTTCTTCTTCTTTTGGTACCAGGCACTGAACTCGTGGTCACTCGACCACTGAGCCCCATCCCCAGCCCTGTTTCATATTTTATTTAGAGACAGGGTCTCACTGAGTGGCTTAGTGCCTCACCGTTGCTGAGGCTGACTTGGATCTTCCTCTCTCAGCCTCCCAAGCCGCTGGGATTACAGGCATGTGCCACCGCGCCCAGCCACAACTTCTTCTAATAATGAAATAAACTGTGGCAGTTTTTGCTGACGACATTTACTCTCTTAAGTCCAGGAACTCCAAAGAGCTTTCAGAAATAACAGGCTGTGTTTGACAACCATGCGGCTGCAGGGGAGGGTCTCTCTGCGTCTCCTGCTGATCTTGCATTTAGCTACTTGCCACCAAAGGTGCCAAGCTCCTCACCCTGCAGCTGGCACAGCCCCGCATCTGCCAGCACACCCAGGCCAGCCACTGCCACATGGTACGGGGTGAGGTTCCACGTAGCTTTTGCCTTCAGTCACACATGAGTGAGAGGATCCCATGTCTGTGCCCGTGACGCTTCATTTGGGAGGGGTTGTTGGGACAGCTTTCATTTTTTACCTCCTTATACACAAAATGCTACTATTGTCCCAAACAGTGATGACAAAATTTCCCCCGAGGGTGGTATTGCCCTCAGGTTAGAATCCCTGCCACCACTTCAGGTTTTTTTTTTTTTTTTGTACTAGGGATTAAATCCCTGGTGCTCTACCATACAGCTACATCTCCAGACCTGTTCTGTTTCATTTTGAGAGAGGGTCTCATTATATTGCCCTTGGTGGCCTGGAAATTGGGATCCTTTTGAGTAGCTGGAATTACACGATAAATTTTATGAAACATTTATTTTTGAATATTTTAAAAGTACTTTTATTAGAATGACATGTGCTTTAACATTCACCTCTAATAAATTTTATTTTTATTTGATATTTTATTCTATGCCTACAAATGCTTATAGAATACAGGAATAAATTCCCTATTCTCTTCCTGTTCCTGAGCATCTTGTTACACTGGCACAGTTTAGGACACACATAGATGGTGGTTTGAAGTCGAGTTTGCAAGGGTAATTCCTGTACCCTCACGTGGTCTTTCTGGAGGGAATCAATGTTCCCAGAATGGAACAGGTCACTTGGAATGAGTGCTAGGAGACACAGAGGGCCCAGGCCACTGGGTCACCACGGGGAATTCATGAGGCACAGCTCTGAGAAACGCTGTTAAAATATTAAGATACCTATAAGAAATTGCAGAAGACTTGACAAATCTAGATCCTTGAAACAGAATTCCATTTAAATCAGCCCACACTTTTGATCTGCTCCTGTTGATACCGCAAGGCTAAGGAAGAGTCACTCTGAACATCCACATTGCTCCTGTCCAGCCCAGGATGCTTGACCTGCAGGAGCCAGTGCCTTCAGAGACAGCAGTCACACGCACACTCAGCAGGGCTCAGCTTCCATGAGCAACCCACCAGGGTAGCCCCCAGAGCAGGCACCCAACCTCAGGGACCAGCCAGGCCATCTGCAGAGGTCAGCGGCTGTTTGGACTCCTGCTCATTAATGAAGTGCTCAGGACTTATTCTTCTTGTTTTCAATTTCTATTTCCATCCCCTTAACCAACACCAGCATCACTGGGCCCCTGAATTCATAGGAAACAATTCAAAAAGAAATGAAAGGCCCTGCTGTTGGCTGGCCGGTCAGGGCAGTCAGATAGGTGAGCCAGGCCGCGGAGCACTGCAGGCACAGAATGAAACACCTGAGAATTTTCAAGATCCCATGAATTGTGTTTCTCTTTCCTGTTGGCTGAGACAGTGGCAGTGAGAGATCCATGGTGCATTTTAAAACAAGGCGGTGCGCTCATCTCAGCAAGTTCAACAGGCTCCTCCCGCCGGCTCCGCAGGGCCGAGTCAGTGGGCTCCTACCTCGCCCGTGCCCAGGATCACCCAGGCTCCCCCAGCCCATCAGTGGTCAGGGTCTACCTGTGCAGTGCCCCCCAAACCAGCCACCAGGCCACACTTGGAAGAATGTGACTGGGAAGAGGAAGGAGAGGGCTGCCAGCCTAGGGGGACCAACTGGGGAGCCCATGGGGAAGAGGAGTGGAGCAGGTCCATGCTGACCAGGGCAGCCAGGAAGGGGCCCTTCCTCCTGGGCCACCAGAGACAGGCACATGAGGCTTTTGTGGCCTCCGTGATGGCAAGGAGAAGAATTTACCCCATTCCCCCAAGAAACTCATCTTTACCCAGACTATTTACACACCGGGGCAGGAATCTTTGTGGAGAGAAACTTCTTAAGAAAGAGAAACAATAACAACAATAAGAACACTGACTGAGACTGTTGGCTGACCTCTGGTAGCAAATGTGAGACGCATGATGAGTGCAGTAACAGAGGAGGCCTCAGTGATTTCCAATTACTGTGCCTAATTTGGACTAAAGCAAAGATTTATGTGTAAACGGAGACACCAAAGTGAATTTATTATACATTCCTACTCAAAAATAATCACGTAGGAATGATTAGATTTTTCAAAGTGTGCAATAAATACACCGATAAATTATACTAGTACAAAAGAGCTAAGTAATCTCATAAGCTAAGCAATTCCGTTTTTTATAGGTCACAGTAAACATGTCACTAAAAATCCTCAATTTTATTTCCTATAGGTATCAGAATTGCATTTGGCTGCTAGTCAAACGGCACAAAGGCCTATGAGCAAATAAGAGCGTGGGTTTCCCTTGCAGAACCGGGAGCTGAGGGAGAGCCCAGGACACGGGGGGCCAGCCAGGAGCCCAGCCGGCTCACTCCCCATCCTGTGGTCCCTGCTGTGCTGGCCAGTGAGGGAGGGCTGCAGTCTCCTGCCACAGAGGACCCACTGGGCTCAGGGTGGGAAGAAGGCCCACAGTCCAGGTCTCTCACAGGCAGGTGAGCAGGTTTTAAATGCATCTTAAATTATTCAATTTCTTGGATATTTATTTTGCTGGAATGCCCTTTTTAGCTATATTCTTTTGGGATTGTCTTAGGTTGACAGTAAAATCGAGCAGAGAGCAGAGCTCAATTCCCTGACCTGTCAGTGTCTTTGTAACATTGGATGAGCCAGGCACACGGGCACACCACGGTCACCCAGAGCCCACAGTTCACGTTAGGTGGCTCCTGGAGGTGGACATTCTGCAAGTTTGGACAGACGTACAATGATTTATATCAACCACGGCAGCATCGTGCAGAGGAGCTCTGCGGCCCTCCAAAGCCCCTCTGCTCTGCCTACTCGTCCCTGCCGCCCTCCACCCTGGCACCCGCTCATCTCTGGCTCCACAGCTCCGCCTTTTCCAGAGTGTCCTGGGTGAGTGGCCTTTTGGGATTGGCTTCTTTCATTTGCAATATGCACCTAAGTTTCCTCTGTGTCTTTCGTGGCTGGAGAGAGCATTTTATTTTAGTGCTGACTAAGTCCCACAGTTGGACAGACTAGAGTCGACTTATCCATCGCCTATTGCCTTCACATCTTGGTGGCCTCCAGATTTTGGCAGTTATGAATAAAGCTGCTGTTCCAGTTGACTTTCCACCACTGCGACCAGGAGATCGGAAAAGAACAATTTTAGAAAAGGAAAA